ACATGTAGTCATGGATAATCAAATATAGACTAAGAATCATTAATCTGGTCGACCGAGTAATGGTATAAAAACACATCACCATGAAGCGTTAAGTATGAACAGATATTCCAAACCAACACTGTAATAGTGTAATAAATACAAATATTTCATCATCATCATCGTCTCAACCATCACCAACCCACGACTGAACACAGGCAATTTCCACCGACTGACACAAGGAACGGCCCCACAATACACATAAAACAGTCACTCCAAACAATGGAGGTAGCCCACACCGCACTTGCATTTACAGGGTCACCACTCAATAACCCCTCTCTCTCATCAATGGCTGTTTCCCCAGCAATGAGACCAGACCATAGTCACTTTAGTCTATTATCCTCAATAAATAAATACTTTATAATAACTAGATATGAAACTAGTTAGTATTGTAATAGTTCAATAGTTGATTCAATAAGTATTTTCCAAAACTGGACAATTAGAACATTGAATCAAATTGATGAAGTGCTATCAAACGACCATATAATTGGATTTTGTATATGAGTAGAATAACGTAAGTACGTAAATTATATTGATGTAAACTTTGTTCAAATGTGATTGCATTTAACGATATACGCATTACCTAAAGGTATATGGACTCGACTAAATACGTATTTTAATAGTTGTTGGGAAAAATATTAAGTATAGACTTTGCCTGTGATCACAGTCAAAAATCTAACTACGTATAATAAATGGAACAAGCTCACCGGATTCTCCAGTCTTCTATTGATTAATTTCACACACTTAATCCATAGTGATACACTAAGATCTCAAACCCCTTCATCGAACCAGTCCCTCCTAGATCTATATCCTAGTTATTTTTTTTATTTTATTGCACAGTTCCTTAAAACACGACTCCCGCGCCATTTTTTTCTTTTTTTTTTTTTTTCTTTTCATCTAGTAATGTCATAGATTATGTCACCGAAGGGTAGATATTTCAATAATCAGATTTAGCCTATTATTCGAACTGAACTTTTCTTTAAATTCAATTTAATTATATGTTAACGTATTTTGGTATTTTCTATTAAATTGATTATCGAATTTATAAAACTTTAAAGGCTCTCATAAACCTTATTAAACTGTGTTGTATGCATCCTTTTTACACCTGATGAGAAAAAGGTAAACTATAATTTGGTTAATATAAAATATAATATATTTTTGTTTAATTTATTTAATTTTCTTGTGACGTCCACTACACTTTGGAAACACATCAAAGGAGTTTCCCTTCTGTGTCAATATTTCATATATGGTAACGTCTTCTCTGTATACTATTGTGAACCTTGACTTTAAAGTTTGTTTATATTAAATAGTTCAGCTTTCGCAGCGGTCACCCATAGGAACCCCTGTTTCTTTCCTATGTACTTATGGTATTAAACCTATTGTACTATAGGCGAACCGTCACAACCTCCTTATAGGGGATGCCTGTGTTCAGCAGTGGACAGTTAATAGCTGATAATATAAGATCAATGCTATACCCCAAAAGGTCGAAAGAGGTTTGTTTGAATTGAAGCATTTGGCGTTCCATTGTTTCTGCCTACCCTAATGGGAGACAGGCGTGACAGATATGTATGTATATGTATGTACGCTATACCCCACACTTCAAATCTAAACAGTATATTAAGCCATAGTACGAAATTATTGGAACTATCATTGTATTTGTCTGCTAAAGTAAACCCAAGGATTAAAGCAATTTCATAGTTCATTAATATTAAATAAACGGTTCAAACTAAAGCCGGTCTATAATGGTCAGAAACTATTTTACTACAAAACTAAATTTCTACAAATCAAACAACAATAATCCTATTAATCGTCGTGGTTAATTCTTGATTTTTTTTTTATACAACTTAGAATGGCAAACAAGCTGACGGCCCACCTGATGGAAAGTGGTAACTGTCGCCTATAGACATGAGCAGTATCATGGACATAACAGAGTATACTGTTTCGCCCATGATACCCCCCATGCGTTGCCATTCCTGAGGACTCAGGTGTTATTCCTCTGTATCCTGTAAATGATGATGAATTTATCATGACGGATCTTCTGATTGATCTGCTTTCATCCTCAAATATTACAATTTACTATTTATCATGTTGAGTCCCAGGAAACCACCGTAGTTACCCCAAGAATTTGTTGAAGTTGTCATGATGAGCCAACTGGCCTGCTTTCATTCTCACCTATTATCCGTCACTGGTGCCCCGCCAGCGTATATCGATAGCACAAGCGGGGTTACCATTTCAATTTCACCCATTATGATACCAGTACCTCGAGAGGAAGGAATTGTTAGTAATGAGAAATACCAATCCCATTGCTAGCGATATACCCTGTCAAGTCGACCTCCCCGTGGTACTCCCTGGAATGCATCGTGCTGAATTTCATGGATATTCATCACAATGGGCTAATTGACCTGTCTTTTCATCCTCACTAGTCATCCCTCATTGGTGGCACGCCAGCGTATACCGTTAGCGCAGGCGGGGTTGCCATTCCATTAGCATCCATTAAAAAAAATCTAAGACCCCTCCAGAGTATACTGATAACGCTAATGCGGTTACCTTTCCAATATCAGCCATAAAAATATTGTATAAAGCTATGAAGTCTTGTCGTTTATGGTTTAAACATTTATTAATAGAACCCTAAAAGCAAGCAATTTAAACATCAATTTAGTTTAATTCCTTACACATTCTCACAAGACAGAAGACGTCTGAATTACAATCCGGCTATACAAATTACTTACTATTCGTACAACATGATTCTATCTAAAACATGTCGCTATGTGGACTAACAGAAATGAGTTTTAAGACATATGAATAAAGTGCTAAATCGCGTACTACCGAACCAAGAGGATGTTTTGTTTTCTTGCCGATTTATCTTACCAGATTTATGTAACAGTTTATTACTTCAATAGAAGGGAAATTTCGTTTATTCTTTGTACTAAATACGTTGGCGTTGTTATACGCGTGCAGGTACCGGCAGGATCTTAAAAGATCAACTCGCCATCGACAGGGAGTTCATCCTCATGTCTTGGAGCCTAGATGGTCGCGTACAGCGCGGTTTCAGAAATGTTTCCTCCCACGAATGCTCTGGTTATGGAATGAGCAAGCTGTCGTAGTTTTTCCAAAAGACTTCGTTTCAAAAAAAGGATTCGTTAAAAAAAGGGGTAAAGAGGTTTCTTCAGGGTCGACAATGCGTGTATTGCAGGTGGTATTGCAGATGTTCATAGGCTAAGGTAACTGTTTGCCATGACGTCAGGATACATCCTCACCCATCACTACTCACTAGCATACCAATAGCGTAAGCAGAATTACCATTCCATTTCCATCCTATTTAAAAAAGCCCATTATTAAAAAATAGATAAGAAATAATCTTTAGTCAAATAGACTTGTGTACAAGCTCTTCAAGTACTCTGCAAATAATTAAAGATCGTGTTTCACAAAAAAGACTTCAATTGTGACAAAACTCCTTCATTTTGAAGTCGGTTGAAAACAGCGTTTTCGATCTCGGCAAACAACGATAAATGGTGAAACGTTTCGTAAACACATTAGATAGAATACATTTGAATTTAGAACGTGGATTGTGTATCTACCAATGGATTTTGGCGCGCAACATACAGGACTTCGTTCCGCATACAAAAATGGCGACTTAAGACTTAGTGTAGCCATAAATTCTGTTACAAATGAAAATGCATTTTTTTTTTATGAAGTAGTATAATATTTCTAAAATGTATACCTACTTATTATTAAAATCGCAGCAAATAATAAATAAATAAACTATTCGAAATGGCCACCTTTGGCTTTTATACAGGCCTTTAATCTATCTGGCCACGAATCTATGGATTTACGCACTGTTTACAAGGGAAATTTCGCCACTGCTTGCTCTAAAGATTTTTTAAGAGACTCAATATCGCGATGTCGTTTAGCAGGCCATGTTCTCTAAAACTGGCCAGTGTAAAGGTATATAATAAAAAAAGACAATATATCAGCCCTTAACTGTCCACTGTTGAGCATAGGCCTTCCCCATAAATGGAGTTTTGCTAGGGGTTTTGCTTTATGGGTTGGCTACCGCAGTTAGCCTTTGGTGATGTTTTAAGAGGGACGCTGGTGCCCATCGCTCGCCCAAGGCTGATATGATAATAATATCTATACAAAACAATTACAAATAATCGTACATCATTTACTTTTATGTTCATTTTTATTTTTAGAATGCCAAACTAGCTGACGACCCACCTGATGGAAAGTGGTAGCCGTCGCCTTTAGACATGAGCAGTACCATGGACATAACAGCATATATTTTTTCGCCCATAATACCCCCCCATGCGTTCCCATTTCTGAGGACTCAGGTACTATTCCTCTGTACTCTGTAAATTCACGCCATATCCCACTCTTTTAAACCAAAACACAGCCATGTAAACATAACTGCTTCGCAGTAGAAACACGAATGGGACAGAGGTGTCCAAGCAAACGATTTCTGTACAAAGTCTCCCTCTGGTACTTACTATATACTAAAATGTTATATTTTTAAGCCTTACTCTACTTACTACGATAAAGAACTTTCATCTCTTTAAAACAGGATCATTTTAAAAATATTTTTTTATTGGAAAAGAAATGAAAATGTGTATCTTGGGTTTATTTATTGCATGCTAATTTCTTTTTCTTACACTACGAAAGTGGCAAATAAGCATACAGCCAGTCTGATAGTAAACAGTCGCTGTAGCTTATGGGACGCCTGCAAAATTAGGGGTGTCACGTGCGCGTTGCTGACCCTGCAGAAAGGTTAATTCACCTTTTTTAATGACTCCTATACCATAATAATTGAAGCGTAAAAATGTTTTTTTATTAAAATTTTATTTATTTATTCTTTTACATATATTTGTCTGATGACATTGTCTACCAGTCAATCGTTACGCTTACAGAGAGAGAATTTGTGCATTGGACTAAAAAAATTTTTCTCAAATATTTCTCTCCTTTTCCAGATATCGACAGCACAGAACAGAAAGTATCCATCATGCTGAACGGCGAAGAATCAGAACTATATTTCGTTAACTGCACCACGACCAAGGTACGATTTATCTACAATTTTATTCATTTTTATCCGACTTCAAAAAGAAATCGGTTTCTCAAATCGGTTTATTTTTTTTAAATATTTGTTACCTCGTAACTCCGTCGGTTATAAACCGATCTGAAAAATTATTTTTGTATCTGAAAGGATATATTTACTCGATGTAAATGATCTCAAAGAAATGTATCAAAATCGGTTAAGTAATTTAGATTTTAAATCAAAATGATTGGTTTTGTCAAAATTGAAACACAACACAATTTTTATTATTTTTTAAAATTTTTAGAAAAGCTATAGAAAGAATGCTAAACATCGTTTTAATATAGTATATTCTACTAACGAAACAGAACTTTTCCCTCAAAGAAATATGAGTCGATAAACGATAAAAAAAAAATTGCAAAAACGACAAAAGATTTACACACTCTCCATTTGTATGTACTACTAGTTTTTAACCCCGAATTCGTCCGCATAACCGGGAGAAGTTTACTAACCGGGATAAAAAGTAACCTTCCCCGTCTCATATATTATATAGTGTATATTAAATTTTACAGTGCTTAAAAAACGGTTAAGACGGTATATGATAACAAACAAACTTACTTTTACACTTTTAATATTAGTAATAATACATACACGACCTAAAACTAACGCATACAAAATCATCATATCAGCTTTTAACTGTCCACTGCTAAACATAAACCCCCTAGGGGGTTTTGCCAGTAATTGCCACGCTTGGCAAGCGGATTGGCAACCACAGTTAGGCTTTGGACATGTTTTAAAAGGGACGCTGCTGCCCATCTCTCGACCACCCTTATTCACCTTTTACGACACCCATGGGAAAGGAATACATACATACATATATGTCACGCCTGTCTCCCATTAAGGTAGGCAGAAACAATGGAACGCCAAATGCTGAAATGAAATGAAATGCCCAAATGAACCCATGGGAAAGGAAGGAATGGCGTATTCTATTCTAGGTTCATACGGCCAATATGTATGTATCAGCAATACCACGAGTCACAGCTAGTATCAAAAATATCTGAACTTTTCATAATACAGATACAATGATGGTTTTTCTATAACAAAAGCACTCTCGGCTCATACATCCCTAAATCAATGATCTCATTGTCCCAAAATGCCACGGAAAGGTTAACACAACCCTATCGCTGTGGCGCCTAATCAATCACGCTCGTGTTGACAGGAGGAAATTGACCGGTCAGAGCCGCCAGACGCGTTCGTCGTAATATACTCTGTGGTGGATAAGGCTTCCTTCCAAAAGGCTGAGCAGGAGCTCGCCAGGTTACTGGACTGCGACATGCTGAGGTCGAGGCCCGCGCTGCTGGTCGCCAACAAAATTGATCTGGCGAGAAGCAGGGCGGTATCAACACAAGGTAATTATTGTAAACATAAAATATTGTATTTTTATCCTTCCGTGATATTCGTAAGTGATTAAATTTGAAGGCTTAAATGTAATACTGACCTCTGACTTTATCATAATATCTCTATTTTTGAGTAATTTCTTTTAGTAACAAACTTATTTCCAACTGTTTAAAAATAGAAGAAGGTTTTCGATTCTGTTTTTTTTTTTTCAATATTTGTTACCTCATAACTCCGTTATTTACGAACCAATTTACAAAGTTCCTTTTTATCTGAAAGGATATACTTTCAGATTGGTCCCATTGAAATTTTAATAAAACCCGTTCTGTAATTTAATTTTAAATCAATAATTTAAAATTAAGTTACTGAAGGGAAATAAATAACTGGTTTTACCACGACTGAGGGAGCTATTTTTTATTTATGTACACTGAGAAAAAATATTTATTAAGCGATGAATATATTGAAAGAGTACGGAAGTAAGTATTGGAAGATCAGGGTCAAACGTGACGTTACCCTGATCTTCCTACACCGGTGATGTGACGAACTCACGAGGAGTTAACTCCTATGATTTTCAGAAGGAGCCACTTGGTGGTCGACCTGACAAAGTACATTGCTAGTACATTACAAAAACAATTTTGTAACAATTCAAGCTGTATTTTTTTTTTTGTAAAACTATACCTTCTAAATTCAGAATCTATAACATCTCATTGTTTCAAGATTAAATTTTTTCCATTTTTTTATACCACTGAGGTGGCAAATAAGCATACGGCCTACCTGATGGTAAGCAGTTACCGTAGCCTATGAACGCCTGCAATACCAGGGGCATTACGCTCACGTTGCCGACCCTGAAGGAACCTCTTTATCCCTTTCATGAAAGAACCCCATGCTGTAGTCACATGTAACGGATCAACACGAGAGTAAACCCTATAGATTGGGGGGGAATGGATTGTTAATAATCTGAGCTACCAGTCCCATTGCTAGCAGTATACCCTGTCAGGTCGACCTCTATGCGGTTTCCCCTGGAAACCATCGTGCTGAATTCCAAATGTATTCATCACGATGAGCTAACTGACCTGCTTTTTTATTTTCACCTATCATCCCTCAGTGGTGCCCCGACAGCGTATACCGTTAGCACAGGCGGGGTTACCAATCCATTATCATCCATTAAAAAACCCTATAGATTGTCAAAATGGATTCGCAATTGGCAATGTAATTACTCGTATATAAAATGGCCAAAAAAAATTCAAATGAATTGGGAACTTCTTTCTTTTGAAAAACTAAACAATCCAAGGAGAGGAAAAGAGGGAGGGTTATTAAGTGCATACCCTGGAGTCCGAAAGCACTTGACATGTGCATTTGTCGCTTTAAAATTGAATTCTATCGAAACCGCAGAAACGCATTCAAGTATTCATTACATTTTACATCTTACAAAGGTCGTAATAAATTAGTAGAGCATATTGTTGTTAAAGCACTTAAATAACTTTGGCATAATCAGTCCAATACAAAATTATTAATTATAGTTTGTTTATATTTTATTTTTATTTATTAATTTAACTAAATTTAATTTAATTAAACTTAATTTAATTAATAAAGTATGAAATAATAATAAATTAAATCTGTTTTAATTTAACTTTATTTAATAGGATTTAATTCAATCAAATTCATTCATAACTACTTTTTAATTGAACGCTAAACCCCTGTAATAGTAAATGGTAATTATCCATAGATAAGAAATACTTTTTTATAAATCAATTTCAATTAATTATCCAAGAGATTGGTTGAAAGATCCACTCCCTTCATTATCCGGTATTAAACGCGGGAACTAAATGATTTCCCGGCGGGAAAGAAGCAACGACATCAGTTGCGACGCCATTTTGTACCCACGTTTTAACGGAAAATTGATTTGTCAAATTATTTTTCGTATTTGAATAAAGAATACTTTGTTATTTTATGTTTTCAATTATTCCTACTTGCGCTCTCATAAATTAAAATGCCATATCTTTAGTTTCTACAATTTTGTGTCAATGATTCCGTATATTTTATTTAGCAGATTTACTAAAATTAAATAGTTATGAAAAAAATGCGAAATTAGTAGTTTTTTTTGTAAAAAAAAAAAATATTTTTATATCTGAATATGGATTCTTTAAGTAAACACTTTCAGAAACTGTAAGTGAAGAATATTTAAGTTTCTGAAAGTACGAAAACTCTTGAATTATATTTTTTCATTTCCATGCTTAAAAAATAATAGAAAAAAAAATTATACATACAACACAAACACCTCTGTCCCGTTCGTAATTTAACCGTGAAGCAGTTGTGTTTGCATAGCTGTGTTTCGGTTTAAAGGGTGGGATATGGCATGAACTTATAGGTTACAGAAGAATAACACCTGAGTCCTCAGGAATGGCAACGCATGGGGGTATCAAGGGCGAAACACTATACTCTGTTATGTCCATGGTACTGCTCATGTCTGTCTATAGGCGACGGTTACCACATTCCATCAGGTGGGCCGTCAGCTTGTTTGTCATTCTAAGTTGTATATAAAAAAAGATTACAATGTTTTAAACCGATTATCTTTTCAACAGATGGAAAATGCCTAGCATGTACCTACAAGGCGAAATTCATCGAAGTGTCTGTGGGCATTAACCACAATGTGGACGAACTACTGGTGGGCATCCTAAACCAGATCAGGCTAAAACAGCAGCAATACTCAGCGGATGGTGGGCGCGAGTCCTCACCAGCGCACTGGTACAAATCCCGCGGCGTTGTCCGAGCCAGTATGAAGGCCCGTCAGATGCTCACCTGGATCTTCGGTAAGGAAGATTCAAAGTTCAAAAACTGTGAGAATTTACACGTTCTGTGAGTGGAAAACGACGGTCCAGTGTTCGTCTAGAGACCACATGAGTGACAGCCGATCACTGTGTAGTATTATAATAAATTAAGTGTTCGTCTTAAAGCAATGAATATCAGGAGGTATGCTTGACACGTGTACAATATATTTTGTGTAAAAAAAAGAATAATTTTCTTATACAATTTATTGATCTAATCTGTTCTTTAAAGTCTTTAAAGATACAGCGAATATAAAGAGAGTTTAGTCACAAGAAATTAATGTTATTACATAAAAAAAATAGTCTCATTTAAACTTTCTCGTCTCTTTATATGACCTGATAGTATGTTAAAAGTAAGACCTATAAGAATGTCTAGGGAAAACAAACTTAGTATCATTCCAAGTAACTTTTTGCACGTTGCTCGAGGATTGTGATCTTGCCCTCACGTGCCAACGTCAAAAATACAAGTTTTCCGAACAATACATGTTCATCGCATATCTTCCAATATTCATTGAGCTTTGATTATTCGCAATTGAGTGTTTGTGTTGTTATTAGTTAGTGTTTTTTATACATGATAATATTAATTATAGGCATGCATTCAGTCGAGTAATAGTTCTTTTATTATACTCGTAATGTGTAGTTATAAAATTGTTAGTATTACATTACTTCTAATGCTATTATTTGTTAAGGAAACTTGTTCAATAATATCAGATTACTCGTTAATTAATTAAGTGATTAGAAAGTGAAAGAATCCTGGTTGCATTTACAGGCATCAATCAGAAATGTTCATCTTGTTTGTAGAATCAGGATATTGAATTAGAAAAAATACCGTTGATCTTAGAAAACTTATTTGAAAAGCGAACTTTATTATCAAGTCCCCTACTGTTCCTTTATAATATAAATTTACTTTTTTAATTTTTTTTTTTTTTTTTATTAAACTAACTTCATTTGTATTGATAACAAATTGTGTTCCACCACGATGCTATGACATGATTAAAGTTAATGAAATAAAGTTGGATCCATTTCAATATAAATGTCGGTTGAACGTAGCTGAATTCAATTTCTGAACAACCATAGTTAACGAGGCCTTTAAATCACCATTGGCATTAAAACGCTTTCTAGCTCTCCTGTTTGATGTCTAAAGATTCTCACGAGTTGAACACATAGAAATACAGAATTATACAATTTACACAAGTAATTAAATATGTACTTACATAAAAATGCAACAATTAAGTGCATATACCTATATATTTTGGAATTTTTGGAAAAACATCCGACATTTTAATACTCATGTGAATAGTTCACATATATTCAAAATACCCGTATAAATTAATGGGAAATCTTAATTATATATACATTATTAATTTCCCTCGTAACTGTATTCGAGTCAATCAATTCGGTCGTGTAAATGAACTCTAATGTGTAAAAAATGATTAACTACACAAATTAATTACACAAAAATAAAAATAGCTACTTATTTCTTATTTTCATTAAAAATATTGTAAATTCTTTTCTTTCTATTCTTTCTCTCTCGTTTTCTTTGAAGATCTAACTTTTATAAATAACCAAAAATGTGTTGGATATATGATGTAAAAATTAATTACACTTTAATATTGCCGATGGATGTTCAGAATAATTAAATATATTTATGTAAAAATTAATTCTATTTTAATGTAAATTGTTTTTATTATGTATTTATTTGTATGTTATTAACACTGTCATATTAATTTAGAATCTAAATATCGTACGTTGACGCCAATCAGTAAACTTTGGTATTTCTATTTTATAAATATTGTAATCATTATGTGCCAATTTTTGAGAGAATTTAAAACAATTAGATAATTATGATATTATATGTTATAAGTTAAATAAATTAAGTAAGAAATACAGTATTTCTTAACGTATATAATAATATGACGTATCAGCAATATGTAATAAATAAGTGAGACAATTTACGTAGTTGATATACTGTAACATAATATAATTAGTAATATTGGACCATTTGTATTTAATGAATAGAATATTTTACGACTATGTAAAAAAATTATGTATTCATATTTACATGTGTATCGTGTCATAAAACTAATAATTTACCAAAACATATAGCTGTGTATTTAAGTAGGTATCTAGCACGATAAATTTTATTCATAACTTCAACCTCTTAATTTTCCTTTACTAATATAAATATCCGTTACAAATTGCAATTAGAAACAATTCTGACTACCCTCAGACACTATACATTTCATTATGACCAATATATCACAGGGAGTTAATGGATATATGCTATTAAAAAAATCTTGATTTTTTTTAATAGTTTCAATTTTTCAATATTAATATGATAAAATTATTTCTCTCGGCGATACATATTGTTCTGCAATGCTGCAGAAGCAATAAACGTAATTAAAATGACGATACAGTAAAATCTCGACTTTCCGAACATCGATTATCCGAATATTCGATTATCCGGACTTATTCTTTGAGGCTCTAATTACCGATTTAGAAATGATTTAAAACCCTTTACGTAATAAAAAAAGACATATAAAAATTTAATTATTGTTTGATTTGAGTTCGAAATCGATTATCCGGATATTCCGTTAAACGGAATTCCTCTGGTTTTATTTGATTCGGACAATCGAGATTCTACTGTACCTCAATCTTTATAATTACCCACTAAATTCACTGCCAAACCAACTAACATATCTGTGGTATAGTTATATATATTTCTTCTATCGCATTTTTTTATTATTTGATACTTTTTGTAACAACCCGTCCGTTTCCTTTAATATTCTTTTCCTGTAACTTCTTTTTCAAACTTAACACTTTTTCATAACATTTGCATTTTTGACAGGCAACAGCCTAATAAATAAGTACAATCAGCACATTTACATAGATTTTTATTTATATAATAACATTATAATAATAGTATTGTATTATAGTATTTAACTCAAGTATTTTACATCCGTATTCTTTCACCCTAATGCCATAACTATATCTAAACAATTTTAATGAAGACTGTACAACAAATTGTTTAATATCACTGTAGTTTTTGAAACCTTACAACAAATACCATTGTTAATAGTAGAAAATATTGTAGCTAAAACATTGATTACACTAAAATTTTATCAGGGTCCACAATTCCTTCCATCCATGCCAACTGACGCAGTGGTTTCTACAATAATATCAAATATAGCTATGTATAAAATATTAAGTGCAGTAAACCATATGTAAAGCGTTATAATCATAATCTTGGTTTTATTAAAATATCTATTAATATACATACATACATACATATATATATATATATAATATTATAGTGTCATTAATAGGGCTGGGTAATATATAGCAACATCTATATATTTTAGTTACAATATAAATATATATATATATATATATATATATATATATACTATTCCAATAATGACTATGTGACGGCTATACTAAAAGTCAGTTATCTAAAAAATAATATTGGATAAAGAACTTGTAACATATTCGAGAATAGATATCCGAACCATGTGAGCGATACCAAAATGGCTAATGACCTGTGTCATGTATAAAGGAACTGAATATATAGATTTCAGATCGGTATCCATATTACCCATGTCTAGTCATTAATACTTCATTATGATAACAATTTATAGCTAATTAAACGTTGTTTTCTTAACACACGGTCATACTGATCACCTGGATATCAAAATGCGATACTGTATTATGAGGAACCAGGCAAATTACAACTGGGTACAAATCACAGAACACCCAGACTCGAGCCAATTGGATTCTACCGCTGCACCATTAAGGTCATCAGTTTGCTTCCCTATTATATGGTCACGTTAAAATATTACGTCCTTTCGTGTAAATTATGTAATTTAATTTTTAACAAAGTCAATATAAACTTCAAGGAATAATATTGTTAAAAAAAAACGTAAGTGCACATTTTAATGTAATAATGATTGGATTAACTTACGTGTATTTTTAATCGAGGGAGCTCGAATAGTTTCGTGGCCATTCGGTACCCTTAGTCATGAGCGGCCGTGATGCGAACACGAGCGTTCATATAAGTGGACTTATAAATAAAAATTCTTTCGACATTGTTCTTTTTTGTAAATCTATGGTAATTTCAGAAACTTGTTGAAAACAATCAACAGTTATAATTACCTATCTTTTATTTTAATTAAGCAATTTATAAATTATTTAAACATCGAAAGTTTTTAATTCCATATCGCTATTGGATTAATTAATTAATTAAAACTCTTTTATCGTTTCCTTCATAACATGATACAAATTAAAAGGATTAACAATATGTACGCAAAAATTTTTTGGCCAGTTCCACAAAACACTAGAAAGAGCAAAAGTGTCACACGAACATCATTCATTCTATCAACGTCATTAAAAAAATCTAGTGCCTTTGTATCGATCGTTGTTCATTACCCCATAACCTTCATCAAAATTAAATTCCAAATTGTTATCGAATGAAGTATAAAACAAAATCCTTATTTTAAGTCTTTAATGATATTTTAAACTTTGAATGTATCGTGATATGAATACTTGCATTAACCTGATATAAATCACATTAGTAATGCTCTATCAATAGAAATAAATACAACAATAAGGTCAAATTTGATTCTTATCTCTAAAATTACAATTTTAGTTTAATAAATTTAAGAAAAACTGTTAATGATGATGCGTTCTGACCGTTTTTGGTCACGGCGATCGCTTTTACTCCGTTATTGTTGATTAGTTGTTTGCATAAGGGGCTGTTGTTGGCATTGATATGCTCAGATGTGGCTTACATAGACAATCTTTATAATAAAGGTGACCAACAAGCGCACCATCGCTGTTGTAATATATTACTGCTATTGGTCAAGTTATTATTTTGTCTATATTAGAAAAACTATTACGGTATAGACCAGGGGTGGCCAACTTGACTAGACCCAAGATCTACTGTTTACAAACGAAACCCTGTGCGATCTACCAATTATGTACATACTTCTTGAAATCTCAAATGAAATATCATAGTTCAGTATACAATTATGTAGTATTATTGTATTTTTTATTTATATTAATGTGAGCATTGCGTCTGAGCGTCTTCCGCTAAGTTAGCAAAATATTTTTTGCCTTTCCACGATCGACTTGACTAATAGTCGCGATCAACCCCTGCTATAGATCATCGAGATCTAAATAATAATAAGTTCTGACCCAATTCTGTTAAAAAATTAATTTATATTGCCCCTAAGAATCATCATTTCGCTATTACAAGTTGAAATTTTAATTTTAAAAAATGCTCCACAAAAACTTTCTAATAACGCCCTAAAACCGGGTTTGCTCCGTTGCATAATTTTATCACCAATGAAGTCATTTCTCTAAACCTGTCTTTAAATTTAAATTTCCATTTGATATCACAGCAAAATCTTTATTGGAAAGACCAATATGAATTAATTTTCTAATAGATTTAAGCCAATATTATTAGAATTTTAGTTCATGATGGTCCATAAAACAGTAATTTTGCGAAATTATAATATTAAAACATGTTAGTTTGATATAAATAAAAAATATATGGTTGTGGAATAAGCTTCCTATCGAGGTTTTCCCTAAAGACTACATACAGTATGGGGTTCATCAAAAAGGGTATATTAAGATTTCTTCATTGTCAGTACCCCCAGTGTTGCAACCATCTATAGGCGACAGTAATCGTTTACCATCAGATGGGCTGTATACTTGTTTATCACCTTTGTAGTATAAAAAATAACCTCAGAATCGAGCTCAATGTATTCCATCTCGCGGTACATTCTTAGTTTCAAGTACCAGTGACTATATTTGGTCCTGCTGATGTATCTATTCATGTACTAAACCTTTGTTAAAATAATAAGTACCTTATTGTTACTAATAAATATAATTATCGATGTAAATACATATTGAGGCGCATGCACTTAAGGATTTGATGTTGTATTTACATACCTAGTTATAAGTAGGTATGTAAGTGATATTACATTGTATACTTAAGTCGATTGTGTTAAGTTTGTACCTGTCCTATCATAATTACAAAGTGACTATCTCTTTACATAACCAAAATAAAAAAAAATGGACTCTTTCTGAATGTTTAAATTTGCGAATTATGTTTTTTAATTTTACTTAAAGCATTTACTGTAAGGATGGGTATTATATAGCAATATCTATATATTTTAGTCACAATATCTATATATTGGTCTAATAACCAATATATGAAAGTATTTTATATAAAAAATAATATTAGATAAAACTTATTATGACTTTTCACATATTCGAAAATAGATATAG